ACAATAAGTCAAACAGATCTCCAGGACGGTGATTTCGGAGTTCCCATGAGAAACAGTAAAAAAAAAAAAAAAACACAACCAAAAGCATGAGAGATTATTGTATTTGCAACAGTCCTTGAGTTTGTGCTCGGAGTCTGGCTGGCCTGTTCAGCCGATATGGTGCTCTGTCATTCCAGGAATACTGCACACTCCCAAGCACTCTATTTATGGTGGCCGAATCCCTGCTGCGTGAAGTGGGAAGGGTATAATCTCCCAGCGGTATTCTGGGTGGTGAATCTGCCAGTGTTGTCTGTGCATACCAATGGCAACCTCACCTCTAAGGAGTTATCATGTATAAAGACAAAAAATAGCAGAAAGCCAGTACATGATGCATCAAGATGTGGAAGGTAAATGGGAGGTGAGTGGCGGGGTGTTCTGGAAACACCCAGTGTTAAAATACATTCACATCACTCCCACCGACACCTCTAGTACCAGTGTTACCACTTTGGCAGCTGCAAATCCTACCAGCTGCCTCTGTGCAGTCACACTCTGCTGGATTCAATCAAGCAGCCATGTAAAACAGCCATATCTATGTAGTATTTATGTGCAATGCCACCTGCAGACACACACTTCATTCCAAGATCATCTCGATACACAAAAACATGATGGAATATATAATTCATATAACAAGTGTAACATTTCTGCAAACAGAGGTTAAAGAGGATGTAGGTTAAACTGATGTGAGACATATTGTCATTGGATTATACCAAAAAGGAATAACTCCCAGAGAATACAGTATAAATCTTGTCAAAAATCAAGTCTAGAATGGGTGCACACATATATGTGCCATAAAACAGACATACACTGTATGATAAAGCCCCAGAGTGAAGAAGATGAATGAAGCCATGCAATGGGCTAGTGTCTGCAGACTGAGGTGTCAGGTGACTTCCATCCTGGCTACATGTGCATCTCATTGGTATGTGCAGTGTGATGAGGCCTTGGCTCTCTTCTGATTATGATGTCTACTGAGAGCTGGGCCAGCCCAGGGTGACAGGAAAACCGAGAACGCTGAGATGGAGGGAAGATTCAGAGAGTCTCTGTTATCTCACCGGGGGATCCCCCACATCATTTAGCGCCTCATGCAGATCACTGCTAGTGGCAACACAGCCCTCTGGGCCTGGGGAATTAATGTACCAAGCAATGGCAGAAGTGATTTATTAAAACAACACACCCTGATGAGAGAGAGGAGCCAGAGTTGCTCCTCCCCAGCTCATCCCCATATGCCACTGAGGAGGAAATGGAACCATATAGGTGCTATGGCAAAAAGCAACAGAGGAGAGAGTGAGAGAAAGTGGACAGCTACTATACAAATTGTGCAACAGTCCTC